TTTTTGTGGTGGCAAAGAATCAGAGACTGAGGAGATGCCTATCATTTAGGGAATGACTGAACAAGTTGTGATACATGATTGTGATGGAATACTATTGTGCTATAAGAAATTATTAAGGGAATGGTTTTAGAAAAACCTGGGAAGACTTACATGAATTAATGTGAAGTGAAGTGAGTGGAATCAGGAGAACACTGTACACAGTGATACCAACATTATAATGATGATCAACTGTGAAAGACTTAGCTACTCTTATCAATACAATGATCCAAGACAATTCTATAGCACTCACAAACTAAAATGCTATCTACATGCAGAGAGAGAACTGATTAACTCTGAGTGCAACTTGAAGCATACTTTTTTCAATTTGTTTTTCTTGCTTTTTTTTTTTTGCAACAAGGCTAATATGGGAATATGTTATGCATGACTTCATATGTATAATTGATGTTGTATTGCTTGTCTTATCTCAATGGATGGGGGAGGTGCTAGAGGGAGGGACGGAATTAGGAACTCAAAAAAACTTTAAATTGGATGCTAAAATAAATCAAGCATAATTATTTTTAAAATTAAAATTAGGAAACTATTAAAAACAAAAACAAATATTGAACTAAATGAGGAATCACTGATAAATTACTTGGATCGGATAGACTCAAGGGTAAATTTGTAAGAGTCAATTTGTGGACCAGTTTGACAAAAGTCAGAAATGTAGTAGGATTATATTAAGTTATGATGTAACATGGAGCAGCTAGGTGGTACAGCAGATAGATGGGGCTCCAGTGAAGAAGACCTGAGTTCAAATCCAGTCTTAGATATGTACTTGCTGTGTGATACTGGACAAGTCACTTAACCCTGTTTGCCTCAGTTTCCTCAATAGTAAAATGTTGCTGGAGAAGGAAATAGCAAACCACTCCAGTATCTTTACCAAAAAACTCCAAATGGGGTCATGAAGAGTAGGATATGACCGAAATGACTGAACGACATGATATAAAACAGAAGACAATGTGCAGTTCTGCTTATCGTATCTCAGTAAAGATATAATTACGCAAGGCAGAACCAAGACAGTGGAATAGCAGGAAGTACCCCACGTCCTTCTGACCTGCTCAGCTTCTCCAAATATATCTAGAAAATGTACTAGACTGAATCTTGATAGGGAAATCCAAGAAAAATCATACTCATTTTTCTAGCCCAGGTTAGTGTAGAGAGAAAGAAAAAGAGTCTGTGGATACTAGAAACACTGGAGGGTCTAGCCAGGAGCATAATGTATAGGGCGAGAAGTGGTCCCATATCCAGAACACAAGGGCTTAAAACTTTAGCACACAAGGGCTTAAACTTGAATAGGTTGCAGGAACAAGTGACAAATTGCAGCTCAGTTATAGAATACAGGCTCTGAACAAAACGAGGAAGGGACCTGCATCTAGGAGTGGCATTCCAGGGTTAGGTACAATTCTGAGCCCTACCCTGGGAATTGAGCAATGAGCAAGTGCAGAAGGAAGCAGCAGTTGTGAGGCTTGTTATCTCAGGAATGCAGCAGGGTATCAGATCCAGCTTGTAGTATAGTCAGAAGCCTATAAAAGAATAACCAGGGCAAGAATTCCAGATCAAAGGGAAGGATACAGTTCTATTACTTGAACCCGCAGAGCTTTCTAGCTACGTAATAGTGATGGTTTCCAGGATCTGTCTACTGAAATTCCAGTGAGTCTTGCTGCAATGTTCCAGCCTCTCTCAGCTACTATAATGGGATGCAAGTATAAGGTACCTTATTGTAAAGCCTACTTTGATGTTCTTCCTATAACTCTGTTGTTCATGGGGTTAATTCCATAAGGTCTGAAGTAGTTTTTGCCACATGAACTAATTACTGGAAGGCCAATCTGAATAGATTTTGTCAGGTTTTACTAAATTATACTAAGTTTTATCATTAACAATTTTTAGTAGCATTACCTAGAGAATCTCCATAAGCGACCCAGAACCTGGAGATGGTCAAGGAAATACCTCCACAAACCTGCCCTGGTAACAGGTAAGACATCATTCAGTTTTCAGTCAGCACTCCAAGGCCCATTACCTGCCCCCAATCAAATTCAAAGGTGCATCATCTACTGGGCAAGACCCCTGGGAGATGCGAATTTTATTTGATTGGACACAACCTACAACTGCTTGCCATAAAGGCACATTCCCCAGGGACTCAACCATGGAGTATCACCTTACACATCTGGATCAACAAGAACCAACTCCAGGACCCTTTGGGCACCTGGTGGACCTGTGCACTTTTTCTGCCTACATCTACATCCACACCTTGTCTCCACACTGTGCCCCTTGGGCAATTTTAACCTGCACACTTGTTACCATGGATATTGACCACACCTTAGATAACTCCACTGAGGCCATGCAACTTGCCCCTGAAGCCCTGGTCCTTGTCCAGGCACAAAAGAGGCATGGAGGCTAGACTAGAGTTAGAGCCCTCCTTGGGGCTTAAGTCCTGGGGAAAGGCCAAAAAAGACATGCATAGATGTTTGAGAGATATGCAGGAGGTGCTCACCAGATACTTGAAGGAACAGATCATGAAATGCCAAAGGATTTGACACCTTAGCTGAGGTCAGAGAACACTTGGGGCCATGGTTATGGACCATTGTTTGGCCCTAGACTATCTGTTTGTAGACCAAGTGGAAGTTTGCACCTTCATTAACTCCTCCTATTGCATGTGGATAGATCTTTCCCATAAGGTCTATGAACATACAGACTGAATTGAGGATCCTGGTCAACAAGTTCAGTGACTTCATAACTCAGATTCATTCCCTCTCCCTCGGCCTGTCTGAATGATCTGTTCTCCAGGTGCTTCCCTGGTAATTGAGGAACTTGGACCTGGAGGGCTCTTGACACTGATTCTCTTTATCTTGTGTATGTTGTTCTCTAGGACCTTCTAGACCACTAGACAGGTCATTAGTTTAGGATGTTAGGTTAAAACCTTCTCTTTTCTTGTTGCTGCCTCTATAAGGCCTACTTACCACTGCCCTAGTGGATCTTGTTAATGGTCTTAAATCAGTCTTGAAGACCACTATTAAGAGTCTCCCCTTAAGGGAGGTTGTAGCTTATAAAATAATCATGGAAATATATTGACAATATTTTTCAAAGGTTAGTACAGCTGTGTTCCCCAAATAATAATTTTGTCTATCACTAGCTTGTTTTTCTCCCTGATAACGAACCTCCAAAATAGTATTTTGCCCTGCCCCCTGATATGCAAATTGACCAGCTCTAGGGAGGGCCACTCAAAATCAAAGTATAAGAACCTCACTTGCAGAAGGGCACTTTGGAACACAACCTCCCCTCGAGCAGAAGCATCCCTTCTTGCTGGGGAACCCCCTTCCTAATGAATGGACACAGCACCACCCTTACGTGAGTTATACTCTGTATTAGTATATATGCTTGAGTTGCATATTGGATCCCCTTTTCTCTCTCTCCTTCCCCCTCTTCCCCATTGCTTACAATAAAGCTTTGCACTGAACTGATTTCCATTGTTTTACATGTTATTCTCAGCATCCAAACTCATTAAGGAGTTGTTTTCCCCAATGTATCTGGCTGGTCTGTTGGCCCCTCTTTAGACATAAACTGGGTACCTAGACTAGAGCTTAACCTGTTGGTGGACACACCTATGCTGGGGGAATATGACAGCGCAAGCCCAGTTGTACAAAGCAAAGGTCAATAGGGTAACTCAATGTTCTCCCAGAAGGAACTTTCTTATGCCAGAATCACAAAACACAATCTTTAAACAGAATAAATTGGAAATTATCATTGGAGAAAAGGCACTAGAATTAAGAGGGATTGGGACAGGCTTCCCGTAGAAGGTATGATTTTAGCTGAGACTTGAAGAAAGCCAGGGAAGCCAGAAGGCAGAGATGAGGAGGGAGAGCACACCCTACATGAAAATTCCCAGAGTTAGGAAGGAAATGGAGTATCTTGTTTGAGGAACATCAAGGAAGCCAATGTCACTGGATGGAAAAGACTGGGGGTGACAGTGTAAGGTATAAGAATACTAGAAAGGTGGAAGAACAGATTATGAAAGTCTTTGAATGCCAAGCAGAGGACTTTACACTTGAGGCTAGATGTGATGCTGATAAAGGAGTCACTGGAGTTTACTGAGTAGGGAGGTGACACAGGCAAACTTGAACTTTAGGAAAATCACTTTGACTGCTAAGTGGAAGGTGGAATGGAGTGGGGAGAGACTTGCAGTAGACAGAGACCCACCAATAGGCTATCTCAATAGTCCAGGCATGAAATGATGAGGGCCTGCACCAGAGTGGTGGCAATGTCAAAGTAAAAAAAGTAAAAAAGACAGAAGGGAGTCTATATGAGAGATATTATAAAAGTAAAATAGACAAGCTTTGGCAATTGATTGGATATAAGGGGTGAGAGATAGTGAGGATTTGAGGGTGATATATAGATTCTGATCCCTTCAACCACAGGCCAAGTTGTTCTTTCAAAATCAAACAGGAAGGGAACATATAAAGGGAATATAAATATAAAGGGAAGACAGTAGGGTAGAAACCCTATAGCATATTATCTATATCTACATTCATGGACTTGTAAGCTACCTTTCTCCACCCTTCCCTCCCCCCCCCCCATCCCAGGACCTACACAAGCCAGTAGGACAGGAAAATATGTGTAAGAAACATAGAAAAAAAAATGTGATCACATACAATCACATACAATCACATCTAATAATTGGGTGTTACCAATCATTTTGAAATGTCAGGCCTCTGACGCTTGACCACAAAATAAAAAGAGGTTGGTGACTTTGAGAGGCAATCAGAGGAAAAAAGCTGCACTTAACTGGCTTTACACATCTAAGTTACACATCTAAGAATCATAACAGGTTAAAAGACTATACTGCCTATCATTTTATGCCCCAGCCCAGGATGAATACATGACGAACACCATCTAAGCATCCTTAAATTTAAGCACAATCATCTGCTAGTGCACAAACCAGACATCAAAAACTGTCCCCTTTATACCTTGTTCGTGAAGAATCCATGTCCAGCACTAACTTTGCTAAATGCTTCCTCTGCTTTTGAATATTTGGGATTTCCACCTGCAATAATAATAAATAATAGTGTTGGCTTTGATTTACTCTTTTTCTTTTTTACAGCAGAAGGTTCAATGGAGGTTGGGTGAAGTTTGGAGCATATTGGAGCATAGCTGTGATGTAAAAATAAAAAGCATCAAAAAAAAACTTGAAAAAAAGTTGATAGTGAAAAATAAAATCCAGATGAATCCAATGTACATGAATCTGTGAGAATTATAACTATAGGTTTGCTAAAGGAACTTTGCTGGCTTGCCAGAATAAAATTCCATATAGATCTTTTTATTCAGTTAGGCCTATTTTGTCTTTTCTGACTGCAATTTCACAGTGCAGCCTCGCCCCATTCAGAGGAAAAGAGAGGATGAGGTGATAGGCAGATCCAAAATGGAGGCATAATTCAAAATGAATCACTAAGAAGACAAGAGAATAAGTCTCAGGCAGGTTGGCATTAAACAGGATGCAGATCCATTCATTTTACTGAAAAATAGTTTTTAAAACAAAATGTACATTTCTCTAAAGAATGGACTTTTTTATGCTTAAAAAACTAATAAAGTTATTCTTTTTTGTTGTATGGGATTTTAAATTTTTTTCCTTCTAGAGAAACTCTAAAATTATTATTTTTATGCAAGTCATTCTTGTTTGTTACGTGGGTTTTTTATTCAATTTTTTTAAACTTTTAAAACAATTTAAAAATGATCATTCTTCTTCAATAGGATTTTGCAAAATAAACTTAAAAAATAGAAATAAATCACCATTCACGTAAAGAAATAATATGAATAAATTTCAGCATTAAAAAATTTAACACCAACCCTAAGGAAACTATTTCCATTTCAAAAGCCAAGGTTGAGATGAGTGACTTACATTCATCTATAGTAGAAAAGCAATGGAAGCATTACAATTAGAGATGGATAATCCAATATAAGCAAAAGCCCAAAGATTCAAGAAATCAAAGAAGCAAGAAAAAATGGACCACATATTTATCTTTTCAAAAATATCTAAAACAATGTTAGAAAATATGTAAGGCAATTGCCATTAAATATAAAGGATGCATTATCAGGCATGACCTGATATCAATAATAAGGCACAGGTAATGTACTTTGGGTTCACTTAGTACTATGATCTAAGACCAAATATCCTTTCAGCTATCCAAAAAGCAAATACTATTTAATCTCTGGGTGAGGATTTCCCAGTAACTACACTAAATACATTTTCTTTATTTTCAGGCATACAGATAAATATTTACTCATTTACTTGCACCAGACAAATCACCAAGCTGTATAGAGAGGCTGAAGGTAGAGTGGGGAGAAAGGAGGGGTTATACAGAGAGGAAGAATAAACTATGATTTATTTCTAAGGGCTTGATTATTTTTAATCATTTTTAATTTAAATTAATTTAATTTATTTTTAATTTAAATTAATTATTTTTAAGGCCATGATTTTTTAAGGTCTCTTCCCCCCCCCTTCTCCTTTCCTTTCCTCTTTCCTTCCTTTCCCTTCGCTTTCCTTTCCTTTTCATTTCCTTTTTCCTTTTCTCTCCTGTTTCCCTTCCACTTTCTTCCCTTCTCCTTCCCTTTCCTTTCCTTCCTTTCTTCCCTACCTTTCCATTCTTACAAGGCAGTGGTAGTTGGGGCATAGGGAAATAGAGAAGATTTATACTGACAGTAAAGTCCCCAACTGGGAGAGTTACAGCTTTAGTAAACTGATACGAAGAAGTCATAGTACTGACAAATAATTTGTATATCTATCAAGGCTTCAAGGCTTTTATTCAGTAGACACTGATCTACTTGTTGATCTATTAATCATCATTTCATATTCTAAAGTTTGGCATGTCATCCTTGTATTTTGAATTGTTCTTTGTTTTAAGAGCTATTAAAGACTGTACTGCCCTCTGCCTGAAGTGGCATCTAGAATCCATTCTAAAGAAGTTCTCTTGGGTCAGCTAGGTGGTGCAGTGGATAGAGCACTGGCCTTGGATTCAGGAAGACTTGAGTTCAAATCCAGCCTTAGACATATAACACTCACTAGCTGTGTGACTCTGGGCAAGTCACTTAACCCCAATTGCCTCACCAGAAAAAAAAATTCTCTGCCAGTCAAATCATTAAATCAGTTTAACAAACATGTATTAAGTCTGTGTTGATGCTGGGGAAGATCCAAGTTCAGATAGTTCCTGCCTTCATGGAGCATCCAGGCTAATAACTGTAACCTTCTGTATTTACTTGCTAATTCAAATAGTCTTGTAGACATAAGAACTGGAACTCTAAGCCAACCCCCAAGTATTAACTAAATCTAACCTGGAGTCATCTTTTCCATGTGGTAGAATCCAGATGCCCCTTTTAATTCTCAAAGGTGCCAGTATGTTCCTCAGTGTTGCTGTCAGCATGAGTACATTGCCATTAGATTTCCACATATAGCAACATATTCCAATAAGTGACTATCCTAATGGCACACCTCCTTCTGCTGTGCCCGCATGACTACCATACAGTGAGTGATTGATTACCCTCCCATAAGGAGGAATGAAAGCTGTTTGACTCCTACCAGGACTGCATCGTATATGTAATGATCATGTACATAAATTTTATACATACAATAATTTCCATTTTATATATCAGGTAAATATTTGTAAGAGTTATACTTACACAAATGAGGTACTAATTTTTCATGTTTCATTGCCTGAATAAAAACTGTTTATCACTATTTTTAAAAAATATAATTTGTTATGGTAAATCATAAATGAAAAATATATTCATTTTCCTGTAGTACTGATGTCAGGAGGCAAGCTATAAATATAGAAAGGGAAGGGAAGATACTTCTGAAGCAGAGGGTCTCAGATGTAAGCCTATTTCACTCCCACTCATATGTATTGTATTCATTCACTCCCTATTCCTTACCTCTGCCAGTACAAACAGTGGCTCAATCACATCTCTCTCTACTTGTAATTCAAAATGGATAAGCTCCTGGGCTAGTTTGTCCTCTGTTTCACCACATAATTTCAGCATCTTCCTGCAAAAAACCACAACCAAAACTAAAATAACAGAACAATTAAAGAGTCAATAGAAAGGGACAGAACTCCACAACACTCATTACCTTGGCTGCATAAATCTTCATTAGAATGTATAACCAAAAAACTGCTTGCTTTTTCTGGAGATCACGCTTCCTAATTCACTCTTTCCCTTTCACTTCTAGAATTAAAGCAAATCAACCCATATTGGGGGTGGAGGAAAATAAGGCCTACTATGTGACTGAAATTAAGGAGGTAGAGACAATGCCCTCACATCTTCTGAGTACACATGCTCCAAACAGCCATATTCCTCTTTTTGTCTGTACACAAAAGAGGAGAGCTCTCTAGACACGTCCTCTTCCACCTCAAGTTTCAGAACAAAAAAATCTTTTTGTTTGAGGCTAAGAAAACCAAGTAGGTTAGGGCCAACAGGTAAGAAACATGATGGCCTGGGTCCAACACTTTGTTAGCTGTATAACCATGAGCAACTCAAGCACTCTAAGCTTCAGTGTCAATTTCTGTGTAACTGGGATACTAATTCTATTATGGGATTGTGAGGTATATACCTTTATAGAGTTGTGAGAAAAACACTCTATAAATTTTAAAGTTTTTTTTAGAAATGTGAATTAATATTTTAAAATGGTAAACGCACTTGAAAACAGTTCTCCAAATAGGATCTATTTTGTTCTATTTTAGTAATTCCAGTGATTTCTAAGGGAAAGAGTGTATCTCCAAAGAAGATTTCAGACCTTCACTAAGTAAGCTATGGAGGTGATATATAATTAATAGTCAAAAAAGATTTAAAAATGTATATATAATGCAAATCTCCCTTGCTACTTCAATATGCAATTGTAAATAAACTACTATTTTTAGAGACACTGAGGTTTCGCTTCATTCAACTTTAAAAAATTCACAAGATGTAAAGTTAAAAGGAACATATGATTATAAAATATATATAGACCTTAAAATTGAGGCTTATATAATCTTTTAAAGTTCAACCATACCATAAATTCAAGTTCTTCTATATTAGAAACTACATGTACTTGAATGACTAATTACCCTTTTTTGTACCTAAGGTTTATCTGTATATATTAAGAGTTGGTTAAATAGTATAACAGAACCCATTATCTGGACTAGCATTAGTCAAATCATTTCTTCCCCCTCCACCTCCCCAACCCCCACCCTGGTGAATTTAAGCTTGTAAGAGCAGGGGTTTTTTGTTTTGTTTTGTTTTGTCTTTATATTCCCCAGAACCTTAAAAATAGCAGTCACTTAATACATGCTTGTTGAATTGCATGGTCTATAGAAAGTGCTTGTTTGCCAGGTAATAAACAGCCTTTTCAATAGTCCAATCTTCAAATGGGCAACATTCACTTTAGTTACCTCCTTCCCTCACTAGTATCCTCAAGTCTTACTACTGAGAGAGCTGCTCAAGGCATTTGGTATGCTATGGTTAAGTTCAAGGACATGAAAAGTACCATTGCTAGAACACACTTAATACAGTTTTAGGATTTCTCTATTGACTTGGCACGGACTTGACTAGAACGTCACCTTACCCAAGGAGAGTTTCATCCCCCAAGATGGCTGATCCTTCCATTAAACACTGAGCCAGTGCTGTCAAAGGTAACTTTTTCTGAAAAATAAACAAAAGTTTGGTGTGAGAAATGTTCCCAAGGTTGTAATTGATAGAGCAAAAGAGCAAAATCTCAAAAACCACCTAGAAGTTTCTATTATTGATGGAGAAACAACTCCATATTGAAACAAGAAGTTAAATGTGCAAAAATCATCATTAAAAAGATGTTTGTATTGGGTCAGAAAATTAAAGCAGTAATATCACTACTCTGCCCCCTTCCCTACAAAACCCAAAGTAAATCAACCACTCTGAAATATACATAAAGGTAAATGTTATATTTCAGAGGAAAAAGCAGAGAAAAAGAGTGTGTATGTAAAAAAGATAAGAAACATAAAGGTGATGGGGATGTACACAGGAAAAAGGCACAATTTTGAAGAACAAATATATAAATTATCCCTCCTGTATCTTAGGTAAGCACCAATGAGTGCCCTTATAAAAAAATGGGTTGAAAAAAGCCAAGCTTTGAGAAGGAACTGTTTTATAACTCCAGATCTTCCTTTATTCCTAGGAAAATGTTTGTGGAGTAGGAAAAGCTATAAAAGAGGTTACCAATTACCCTGGGTATTCTCCATTGATAGGCCAACTGTGATAATACAGCAAGCATCTGTTGTCAAAAGGTAGCCATTTAATGAAGTAGATAGAAAGTGGGCTTGGTATCAGAAAGGCCTTAATCTCAGACACATATTAGCTATGTGACGCTAGGCACCTCACATAACCTCTGTCTGCCTCAATTTCCTCACTGAAAAATGGGGATGATAACAGGATTTACCTCAGATGGTTGTTATGAGCATCAAAAAAGATAATATTTGTAAAGTACTTTACAGAATACCTTAATATATAGTAGGCACTTAATTCTTCCCTTCCCCTCCTTCACCTGAGCTCTTTCCTATGAATCAGCCTCAGGAAAGTAGCACTCTTCCTGTACTGTTCCTTCTACTTATTTACTGACTAGACAATGGTACACAACAAGTAACGATCACTACTTTTTTATACTCACAAAGATAAGGGCACAAATTATAAATTGATAGGCAATTATCAGTCCTTTGAAATCATGACATCATCATTCTTATAGTTTTCAAAGCTGTTTTTATAGTGTCACTGTTATTGTATAAATTGTTCATCTGGTTCTGCTCATTTGATTCTTTATCAGTTTATAAAATTCTTCAAAATTGTTCAGTTTTATAATGCTGACATTATAGTATAAATTATTTTTATGGTTCAGCTTAATTTACTCTGTATCAGTTCATATGTCTATCTATGTCCTTTTGCAATAATCCATTTCCTCATTTCTTACCGCACAATATTATTCCACCGTATTAATATACCACAGCTTATTCCTCAATTGATGTGCATCCCTTTAGGTTTCAACTTTCTGTCACCTCAAATAGAGTAATTATAAATATTTTTGCATATATACAGGCTTTTCTTCTTTCTTCACTCTGATGTTGAACCATTTGACAGTTTTATGGTCTTTGGTGGCAAGAAGTTTCTTTCCCAGGCCTCAGCAGTGATGGCTACTGAGGAGGCAAGGGCTGCAGCATTTGCAGAGGTAGTTGACAGATAACACATACTCAGATGTTTCCTTTTCAGATGATGGTTGGCAGCAGGACTAGTGGTTTAGGGAACACTGTTATTCCAGGGTTACCTGCCTATTGGTGACAGTTGGTCAGTAGTTGGGGCTGGCAAGAGCAGAGATCTGTTTGCTAGTGTCCCTCATTCCATGAAAGTTACTAACCCTGATGACAGCTGTAGGAACCAAGCTAGAAATAGGAGTGGTAGTCTAAGAAGCAGCAAAATTCATGGAGTTCTTAGCCTTGGATCCAAGAGGAGGTAGTAGTTGAGATGATAGTGATGCTGGTTTGACCTACTTCTTGTCTCTCCTTTAAGTCTCTTTGTTGCAAATGAAAGCTATGTCTCAAATTCAATGGGTATAAAAGAAAAACCCAACTTATTCTTGGAAAACAGGTCACTTAATAATCATTTGTCAGCACTCTTTTTTTCTTATTATCTACTTGTCCCTTCCTTTCTATTCTTTTTCTCTCCCTCTTTCTTTCCCTCTCTCCCTCATATGAAATTGAAACATGTTGTTTGAACACTAGATATATCTGTTAAATGAAGTTTTGTTTTCTTGGTTCTTAGTTTAAGAATCAAACAGGTTTAATGTTTACTACTTCTCTTTTTAAAAAATAACCTTAAATTTTGTTATTCTTGCTTTCTCAATGGCAGTGGGAGGTAGGAATGAAAAAAAACAATAATTGTTTTTTGGAAAAATAACAAAATTTAACTTAAAAAATAAGTCTGGAAAGGTAGGCTGCAACTAGTTGCTGAACAGCTGAGCAGTTTGTGTTTTATTCCTGTATTGTAGATATGCATTTTACTGTATTTATGGCAATAAGGAGACACTGAAGTTTAGTTAACTAGTTAATATTGTGGTTATTTTCTCTTTACTAATTCTTTTACCAAACCTAATTTGCTAAAATATATAAATTTTCATTAGGTTGGAGATTGTAGGATTATGAACGATAGTGTTAAAATAATGTCTGGTAATCTTTTTTCTGAAAATTTGTGAAAACTCTTCATAAAGGTTTAAAAAATAATCCTAAAACTAAAGAAGTCCTTTATCAACATTTCCCTGTAGCTCAAAAAAGTCTTCTATTTCTTGACATGTAAATTTTATTTTAGAATTTTTATTTTCAGTTCTAAATTTGCTTTCTCCCTCCAGTCCCTCCCCACTCAATTGAGAAGGCAAGAAATAGGATTCTTATTATACATACAAAACATTTTCACATTTGCCATGTTGTGAAAAAAAATCAAGAAAAATAAATTGAAAGATAATGTGCTTCAACCCGAATTCAGAGATCATCAGTTTTCTCTCTGATGATGGATAGCATTTTTCGTCATGAGTTCTTTAGAATTGTCATGGATCATTGTACTGATCAGAGTATCTAAGTCTTTCTGAGTTGATTGTCCTGTTGTTCTCAGTTGATAGAGTTAAGCCATGACATTTACTCTCTCCCTGATCAGGGACAGACATATAGCAAAATACTAAAATACATAATACTTAATGGACCCAGTAGACTGAATCACTGAAGACACCAGACAGATTTTCCTAAATAAAAAAAAAATTCCCTTCATATCTATATAAATGTGGTTGAGTGAGCTCTCTCTCTATAGATACCACTGATCAGGTAGATGTCTACCCAGTGTAATAAATTTATAAATATAAATGTAAGATTTACAAGGAAAATCTGGTGGCAGCTAGGTGGCACTGTGGATAGAATGCCAGGCCTGGAGTAAGGAAGATTCATCCTTGTGAGTTCAAATCTGATTTCAGATACTTAGTAGCTGTGTGACCTTGGGCAAGTCACTTAACCCTTTTTGCTTCAGCTTCCTCATCTATAAAATGAACTGAGAAGGAAATGGCAAACCATTCCAGTATTTCTGCCAAGAAAATCCCAAATGGGGTCACAAAGAATCAGACATGACTGAAAAATAGCTGAACAACAATAAAGGAAAATCCTAGATTTTAAGCTGACCATACTGTAGGAAAATAACACCAGCATTAATCTACTCACCAAAAATCTAAATTGGCTATACCCTAGCATGATGACATTCAAGTATTTCTCTCAATATTAACATACACTTCACTTTAGGTGTTATGACTGAGACAACAGTTTGATAGCAACAACTACAAAGATATAACCTTGCAAATGACATATGGTCATACTTCTTTAAACAGGTGACACTATTGTTGTTATTGTTATTTTTAACTCTACTGTCATTACCTTTGTTGAGGTAAAGAGCCAAATGGTTACTTGCAAGGAAAGAGGAAGGTAGAAAATTCACATGGAATGTGGATAGAATGACAATCCTACAAAAAAGGGGTAAACTTGGATTTTATAAGAGATACGTTTATTTGGTTCTGAAAACATGAGCTTAATAATCTTCCTGAAATAAATCAGCAGCTTACTGACATAGCTTTAGTAGCTAAAATCCAACCTATTCTTGGAAATAGGTCACTTACTGATCGTTTATCAGCTTCTACCCCTTGTTGTCCTTGGAGACATGCAGTCAACTTCTTGTGAGTGCTATGTGATACTTGCTTCACCAGCTCCAAGCGCTTCTCCACCTACAGGCAAAAAAAAAAAAATTTAAACAGGTAGCATCAGGTGGGTGAAGTTGGTGAGGCAAATAGAGGAAACACCTAAAACTTAATTCTAGCTTCAGGTTTTATCACCATTACAATTTACTTCCAAATCACTTCTCCTTTAAAATAAATTTTATTGATGCCTTTTTATTTTGATATCACAATCATTTCCTGATATAAAGTGTGCTTCCTACCTATATCTCCCAAATTGAATCCTCCCTTATAACAAAGAAAAATAATTAAGTAAAAACACTGCACATAGTGACCATATCTGACCTCATATATAACATGCTACTCTTGAAGCCCCCCCTTTTTGTATGATTTATCCCTTATTCTAAAACTTCTTTAAATGTTTATTTAAAAATTGTTTTTAAATAAAAGGAAGAGCATGGTATAGCAGAAAAAACAATGAACTGGGAGTCAAATATGGGATAAAAACCCACCACCTGCTACTTATTAGCTATGTTGCAAGTTACTCTTAGTTTATTAAACATAATGCCAACTATGTGCAGGATATTAGACTAGGTACTAAAAAATAAATAAATATCATCCTTGGCCTCACTGAGCTCATAGTTCAATAGGTAGGGTATACAAATGATTACAATACAAAAACAGAATATTTTAAGTATATAAAACATGTACAAAGTATTATGCAAGAAAGAAAAAAATCATTGAGAGAATCAATCAAACAAGGATTTGTCAAGGATCTGCTATGTGTCCAATCACTTTGCTAGGTTCTGGAGATAAAAAGATAGAACAGAAACTACCTTCAAGTAACTCCCATCCTTTCTGGGTGGGAGGGAAATCCTTATGTATTTATACATGCATTTTAAATATATACAAAATAAATACAAGGTGATTGGGTCCAGGAGTGCTAGCAGTTGAAGGCTTCATGAGTAGCTGAGCTCTGGAATAAATTGAAGAAAGGTGAAAGGAACCAGATTGTGATGATCTTTAAATGCCAAACAAAAGACTTTCTATCTGATCCTGGGGGTAATAGGGAACCCAATGGAGCTTTTTGAAAAGGGTAGAGTTGAGTGATATGACCATATCTATACTTTAGGAAAATCAATTTGGCAGCTGAGTGTCAAGATAGTTAATCTGAAGACTATGTCTATAGTCCAGGTGATAAGGATCTGAACTAGGACAGTGGCTGGGTGAATATAGAGAAGGTGACTTAAAAGAGAGATGTGATAGAGAAAGAAAAAAACAGATTTGGCAATGGATTAGATATATGAGGTAAGCCAAGAGAATAGTCAAGGATGACAATGAGATTATGAGCCTAGGTGACTGAAGAGATGCCATTAATATCAACTGCCATTGATAGAAGTTTGGAAAGTAAGAAGAAAGCTGAATTTTGGGGAAAAATAATGCCAGTGTCTTTCATATGAGATTATCTACAATTTATTTTATATGTATCTTGTTTGTATATAGTTTGCAAGTTGTGTTTCCCCCACCTCCTACTGCAATTAGACTATGAGCTTCTTCTGTTTTTATCTTTGTATCCTCAGTGCTTAGCACAAGGCCTAAAACAGAGGTTAGGAACCTGCAGCCTAGTAGTTGCTAATAAATGCTTGTTGACTTGACACGGATAAAAAGCCAGCAAACAAGATAAGGAAGAAGCAACTGCCAGGTAGGAGGAGAACCAAGGGAGAATATAATAATAAAAATGCAAAAAGAAGAGAGTGTCCAGGAAAAGAAAGTTATCAATAGTGTCACATGCTACACAGAAGTCAAAAAAGGTAAGGATTGAGAAGAGGCTATAAGACTGGGCAATTAAGAGATCACTGATAACTTCAGAGAGAGTAATTTCAGAGAAATGATGAACTTGTAAGCCAGATTGCAGAGAACTTATAAGACAGCGAGACAAGAGAGGAAGTAAAAGCACTGATTGGAGATGGTTTTCTTAAGGAGTGGTGGAGAAGGGGAGGAAAGATAAAAGACCTGCTGGCCTGCGTGGTAGGATCTAGTAAAGGCTTTTTAAAGGATGAGGGAGGCATAGGGGTTTTTGTAACCAGTAGGGAAGGAGCCAGTAGTCATCAGTGAGTGGACTGGTTTGGATGAGACATCCTGCCCAGTCAGCTATCAGCTAGCACAATATGGCTCAGCGTTGCAGCATTAGTATCTGTTCAACACAGAAGCTATGTTCACTAAGGAACTTCTGTTGACATTTCTTAAGATAGAAACATAAGACTGAACTTTATGGTTTCAGAGTTGTGAGTTTCCCAGAGCACATTGCTTTTCTCTCACTCATATGTCCTTAGAAGATTTCTGTATTTTCATACTCTCTCAATGCACCCCCTACTGAATGCATTGGTGGGAAATTGTATCTCAGGCTTATATTTGGATTTTGAAGTTTTTATTAATCCTGTATTTGCTATAATATGAGTATCTATGATGTTATTTCTTTTTCTGTATTGCTAAGTAAATGGCTATGTTTATGATTTTAAAAGGCTACCACATGAGTGGTTGGTTTGTGAATATAAGTATATTAGTGGGTTACTGAAAGCTAGAATTTTGAGTAGGGGGAGTGAATTTCTACACAAGAGAGTAGCATCTAAGACCCTGAGAGAGTCGAGATTATAACTTCATGGTGGTGGTCTTATTCTGGGACTTGCCAGTATGAGGCCTGGTTGAGGTTAATGGGACAGCCCAGAAAGTGATCTCTATACACCCTCTGTGACAGGTGTGGGGCATTACACTGTGGATGAACACTCCATACACTCACTTAGGAAGAAAAAACTTTCTTAACAGTTAGAACTATCCAAAGATGGAACGGGATACTTCACGTACAGTCTGGATGACTACTTTAGGGAGATGTTGTAGAACTGATTTTTGTTCAGGTATGGGTTGCCTTTTACAACTGACTCCAAGTCTGTGATCTCTAAGGTCCCTTCAAGCTTTAAGTCTTATGACACTATGATTTCAAGCACAAAAATAATATGCTCAAGTCACTAAATCCTACAGATAGATCATTTATAAAGGCCACAGATACATTTATAAAATAAAGACAATAATACTCTATCTATCTGAAGGCAGAGTACTGGACCAGATGATCTTAAAGTCTCTTCTAGCTTTAAGGTCTATGTAACCAAGTAATTCAGAGATAATGATAATAACGATTAACCTTATATAATATTCTTATGAGAAATATTTGCGGAGTTCAATGGTGAGGGGGGAAGGAGGGAGATGTTGAATAATGTTGAATTAAAGTAGTTAACCAAAGAACTACCTTACCTGAAGAAGGTCTTCATTTAGAACTTCAGTCTTTTCTGCCCTAGAGAGAGAGAGAGAGAGAGAGAGAGAGAGAGAGAGAGAGAGAGAGAGAGAGAGAGAGAGAAGTATCAGTTGAGAAATCAAATTGTCAATTGCATTCCCCAGATTAGAAATAAAGAAACAGCAGCTATGATAAGAAATTTCAGACTTTAATAGAACAAAGCAGATAAGCAGTACTCTAACTTCAAGACTACAGAGCCCCTTCTAGCCGAACATTAATTATTCAAAATTGTTGGACAGAGAATTCCCACACTGGAAAATCACACAGAAGATGCTTGCTAGGCATCTGAATATTCAAAGAGCATAAAGTCAAGGACTGACCAAAGGCAGTGATAACAAAGGAAGAAAATGCAGCTTATTTACTATGTCAAAGACATGTGATTCCACTAGTGTTGGAACTTCCTCCACAAAGACTGAAATTCATCTTTACAGTCTTTGAAGATTGGCTGAGGCTCAGAGAGAATAAGTGACTTGTCTACTGTCAGACTCCTAGTAAGCATTAGGGGTCGAACTTGCTCTAAAGACTTCTGATTCTAATTCATATAACTATGAAGTACAACATGCCATCTTTCTTTTTGAAATCTAGTTATACTGTTTTAAAATGTATTTCTTTTCTTCTTTATTTTTAATAGTACTTTATTTCTCCAATTACACGTAAAGGCAATTTTTAACATTCACTTTTTATATTTTCTCCCTCCCCTCTTACCTCCCTAAGACAGTAAGCAATTTGATATAGGTTATTTAAGTGCAATCATGTAAAACACATTTCCATATTAGTCATGTTGTAAAAAAAAGAATCAGAACAAAAAAAAACATGAAAAAGTCAAGTGAAAATAGTATGCTTTGATCTGCATTCAGATTCCAATCAGTTCTTTCTCTGGATGTGAATAGAATTTTCCATGAGTCTTTTGGAACTGTCTTGGATCACTGTATTGCTGAGAAGAGCTAAGCCAATTATAGTTGATCATCGCATAATATTGCTGTTACTGTGTACAATGTTCTCCTGGTTCTGCTCATTTCACTTTGTATCTGTTCACGTAAGTCTTTCCAGGTTTTTCTGAAATCTGCCTGCTTGTCATTTCTTATAGCACAACAGCAGTCCATTACATTCATATACCATAACTTGTTCAGCCATTCCCCAATTGATGGGCATCCCTTCAATTTCCAATTCTTTGCAATCAAAAAAAGAGCTGCTATAAATATGTTTGTACTTGTAGGTCCATTTCCTTTTTTAATGATCTCTTCGGGATACTGGCCTATTATGCACAGTTTGACTGCTGTTTGGGCATAGTTCCAAATCACTCTCCAAAATGGCTGGATCAGTTCATGACTCCACCAACAGTGCATTAGTGTCCCAATTTTCCCACATCTTCTCCAACACTTATAATTTTCTTTTTCTGTCATATTGGCCAAACTGGTATGTGTGAAGTGTAACCTCAGAGTTGTTTTAATTTGCATTTCTCTAATCAATAGTTATTTAGAGCATTTTTTTCGTGAGTATAGATAGCTTTGATTTTTTTTCATCTGAAAACTGAATGTTCACATCCTCTGTTCATTTATCAACTGGGGAATGATTTGTATCCTTATAAATTTGACTTAGTTTTTTATATTTTTGAGGAATGAGGCCTTTATCAGACCCTTGATATAAAAATTGTTTCCCAGCTTTTTTATTTTTAATATTTTTTTTATTTTGAGTTCCAAAATGTCTCTGTCCATCCAGTCCCTCCCCAATCCACTGAGAAGGCAAGAAATGATACCAATTATACAGATGAAGTCACACAAAACATATTTCCATGTTACCATACTGAGAAAAAAAAGCAAGAAGAATAAAGAAGTGAAAAAATATGCCTGTATCTGCATTCAGACACCATCAGTTTTCTCTCTGGAGGATAGTATTTTTCATCGTAAGAATTTTGGAATTATCTTTGATCACTGTATTGATCACAGTACTAAGTCTTTCACAGTTGATCTTTGCTACAATATTGCTATTACTATGTAAAGTGTTCTTCTGGTTATGCTCACTTCACTTTGCATCAGTTCATAGAAATTTTCCCAGGTTTTTCTAAAAGTATCCTCCTCACCATTTCTTATAGTACAATAATATTCTATCATAATCATGTACCATGACTTGTTCAGTCATTCCCCACTTGATGAACATCCCCTCAATTTCCAAATCTTTGCCACCACAAAAAGGGTTGCTATAAATATTTCTGTATATACAAATATTTTTCCTATTTATTTGATTTATTTGGGATATAGACCCAGTAGTGGTATTACTGAGTCAATTCCTTTCTATTCCAATTTAATTTTCTCCAGAGCTCCATCATATATAATTTTTCTAAAATCCTATTAATCTCATTAATGTATTTATTTTATGGTTAGATTTATCTAGTTTTGAGAGGGAGTAAATGATGTCCTCCCCCCATAGTATAGTTTTGGTTGTTTATTTCTTCCTGTTAATTCATTTAACTTTTTCTTTAAGTGTTGGATGCTATGGCATTTGGTGCATATATTTTTAGTAATATCCTTTTAATGAAATGTAATTTCCTTGATTATCTAATTTAATTAGGTCTATTTTTGTTTTTGCTTTATTCAAAATCATGATTACTACTCCTGTTTTTTTTTAACCTCAGCTGAAGTATAATAAATTCTGCTTCAACCATTGTTTTAATTGTATGTATGTTCTTCTATTTCAAGTGTGTTTTCTGTAAACAATATATTGTTGGATTCTGGTTTCTATTCTATTCTGTTATCCACTTCTGTTTTATGTGTGAGTTCATCCCATTCAGATTCACAGTTATGACTATTAACTGTGTTTCTGTCTATCCTATTTTCTTCTGTTTATCTTTCTCTCTCTTTTCACCCTGTTTCTCCTCAAAAGTCTGTTTTGCTTCTGAACACTGCCTCCCTTAGCCTACCCTCCCTCTTATCATCCTATCTTTTTAACTTATCCTCTTCCTTTTACTTCCCTTTTGGGTAGGAGAGATTTTTATAAACACACACACATTCATCCTTATTTGAATCTATTCCAATGAGAGTAAAATTCCCTCTCACTTTCCCTTCTACTATAAAAGTTCTTCCTTGAATGCCTTTTTCATGTGAGATAATTATCCCTATTTTTCTTCTTTCAGTGCATCCCTTTTTCTCACCCCTTCAGTTTCTTCTGAGATCATTCCAACATAATTGACTCATACCTATGCCCTCTGTCTACATATTCTCCTTCTAATTGCTTTTATGATGATAAAATAATTAGGAGTTGCATGTATCATCTTCCCATACAGGAATGAAAACAGTTTAACCATATTAAGTCCTTTATGATTACTCTATTATGTTTGCCTTTTTATGTTTCTCTTGAGTCCTGTGTTTAAATGTCAGATTTTCTACTTAGCTCTGCTCTTTTCATCTGGAATGCTTGAAAGTCCCCTATTTCATTAAATATCCATTTTTCCCTCTGAAGGATTATACTCAGTTTAGTTGAGTAGGTTATTCTTGGTTGTAATCCTAGTTCTGCTGCCTTCCAGAACATCATATTACAAATTCCTCTTTCCTTTATCATGGTAGCTGCTAAATCTTGTCGCTCCATGGTATTTGAATAGTATCTTTCTGGCTGTTTTCAGTATTTCCTCCTTCTCCTCGAATTTTACTATAACATTCCTGGGAATTTTCATTTTGCGATCTCTCTCAGGAAGTGATCAGTGGATTCTTTTTGTTTCTATTGTGACCGCTGGTTCTAATACATCTGGGAAGTTTTCCTTCATAGTTTCTTGAAATATGATGTCTAGGCTCTTATTTTTGGTCATGGCATTTACATAGCCCAATAATTCTTAAGTTATTTTTCCTTGGTCTATTTTCCAGGTCAATTGTTTTTTTCTGATATATTTTTCACATTGTCTTTCATTTTTTCATTCTCTTGAATCTGTTCCATTGTTTCTTAATGTTTCATGGAGTCATTACCTTCCATTTGTCCATTTCTGATTTTTAAAGAATTATTTTCTTCAGTAATGTTTTGATCTCTTTTACCATTTTGCCAATTCTTTTTAGGTAGTCATTTTCTTAAGTATTTTTGTACCCTTTTACCAAACTAATTCTCTTCTCATAATTTTCTTGCATTGTTCTCATTTCTTTTCCCAATTTTTTTTCCTCTACTGCTCTGATTTGAATTTGAATTTTTTTTTGCTTTTTCAAAGTTTCTTTCTTTAGCTCTTCTAGTTGAGCTTTTGAATCTAATCTACATTTTTCTTTGAGGCTTTGCTTGTAGATGATTTCACTTCATTGTCTTATTTTGAATCTGTGTCTTGAGCTTCCTTGTCACCATAGTTGATTTTTATGGTTAGGTTTTTTTTCATTGTTAACCCATTTTCCCAGTCTATTTCTTGACTTTGAATTTTAAGTTAGAGTTGGGCTCTCTTTTGTGCTTCAGGCCTTTCTTCCCTACTGTTTTCAGAGCTAATTCTGAGGGTCTGTAAGTTTTTGGTGCTTTCAAGGTGGTGTGATGAGGTTGTGTGGTTATGGTTACTACTCTCTTGGACTGCATGCTGGCCCTTCCTCAGAAAGGGTGCCTGCTCCTTTGTGATCATAAGTGCTACCCTCTCCACCCTAGGCCTGAAACCAGGAACTAAAGACCCCACTCTCTCATTTTGTAAAACTGAGTTCAGGGCCCCTGCTCATTTGTGACCACAAGCACTCCTCTCTGCCCTGCAAGTGCAATCCAGAACTGCGTAATGGGCAATGGAGGTTAAAGAGAGACTAATTATTTAGATTTCATATTTCTTTTTATCTTGCTTTAAACTGTACATTACATGTACATATAGCAAGTAGACACTAGTTATTTTTGTCCTGTTAGCTTAATTATATACATTCATACATATATGGAAATATGGAAATGAGGACACATTGCCAAGTAAAAGAACATACTAATTCTCTCTCACTTAGAGAGAAGTTCTCTCTCATTTTCCACAGCTTTAGGAAACCTGTTCACCAACATCTACCAATGAGTTATTA